TCCTATGCAAATGAACAATGTTGCATAATTGTTCTGTTTGTTCTAATATAAGTGTTGGTGGCAGTAATGCTAACAGCAGAGCAATGCTAGCTCGAGCCACCGCTAACTTCCTTGCTGGACAAGAAGAAAACGAAGAATGGTCCACATAACTTCCCAGGATGTACTGGGAATATCCAGACTGTGAATGAATACCAGATAGATTCATAGCTTTCCTATTGAGTTATCCGGGTAGCATAAAGCACAGCTGTACATAGAGTTTCTAGCTTCAGGCAGAATCATAAACCGACGAATTAGCACGGTGCTCATTTTATATTCATATCCCAGCCAAGTGTGCTAAGAAAAGCGCTCTACATTGTAGGGTTTTGTTATGGCGTTGTATTTGGCCAGTTATCAGGGATATTGTTCCATTTTGAGCCCCAACAAAGTTTCACATGCTATACAGAGGCTCAGAGAACAGTTCCCTTTGTTAAAAAGTGTTCTTTTAGGACCTCAAAGCAGAAAACTGCCCAGTGTTATCACTTAAAGCTACAACGGCAGATTTGTAAAACAAGCTAGCCTAAAACATTTTTCATGCCTCTCAACAACATTCTAATGCAGAATACGTAGCTATAACTATTTAGTGGAGATGAAAGAAAAACAACAAATAATTAAAGTGCTTTTCTCACTTTTGTCTGAAAATTTTAGCCAATAGTACGGTTCGATCCAAACCCAATTACTGGCCATCCTGTTGTTACTGTCAGGTTGTATTTGGTCATTTTGAGACTCAACAACATTTTGTTGTAGGACCCCATGACTCTTGTTCTTTTGGGGAAGCTAAAAAAAAAGGTTTCTGGGATACTGACAGGGTTAAAGGTCACTTGGTTCAGTCTTGTTTCACATTTCAGGAAACTCGTAGGCAGAACCAGAGACTCAGCTGATTGCTGGTGACTCAGCGTGCATTAAAAAAAATCCAATGACAGGCTGATGCAAGAAGTTTGACTTCATGCCTCACAGGTGTAGAATACACGTCCGAAGCTCTACAACACCAGAGGATTATATGTATCTGTTGGCTATGCTTAACGTACTTAATATTCTTAGTTTGAACAGCTACTTTATGCCACTTTCAACACTTCAATTTGTTACGAAGAATTGTGCACAGTTACGCAGGATTTTGGCAGGTTAAACAAGTTTTGAATAATTTGGTTTGCCAAATGTCAAAAAAGGGAGAAACACGGGTTTTGTCTAAGCAACAGTCAAAACAAGAGAGAAGAAAAGGGACCTGGAGCTTCAAGTTTTAACAAGTTTGTAAAAAATTCACCAAATGATGTACGGGATCTGCGGTTGTCTTTCAAACTGTCTTTGCTCGCTATTGGACAATGACAAACACGTGACGTACTCACCGCCACAGATGTCAGTCAGCAGGGCAGTCTGCCATACACTGTCAAAGAAGATGATAATACATAGATTTTCTAAAGAAAAGGCTTCAGTCAATCTGCTCTTGACTCAAAGAAAAGCCCAACAAACCATAGAGTTAGGGTAGGGTTAGGGTTAACCCTAACCCTACCCTAACCCTAACCCTAACCCACCAGACCGATAGAGTGCTGTGATTGGATAGAGTGCTGTGATCGACTCACCAGACCGATAGAGTGCTGTGATTGGCTCACCCCAACAATAGAGCGCTGTGATTGGCCCACCAAACCGCAAGAGTGCTGTGATTGGCTCACCACACTGATGGAGTGCTGTGATTGGCTCACCAGACCGATAGAGTGCTGTGATTGGATAGAGTGCTGTGATTGGCTCACCAGACCGATAGAGTGCTGTGATTGGCTCACCCCAACAATAGAGCGCTGTGATTGGCCCACCAAACCGCAAGAGCGCTGTGATTGGCTCACCAGACCGATAGAGTGCTGTGATTGGATAGAGTGCTGTGATTGGCTCACCAGACCGATAAGAGTGCTGTGATTGGCTCGCCAGACCGATAGAGTGCTGTGATTGGCTCACCAGACCGATAGAGTGCTGTGATTGGCTCACAAGACCGATAGAGTGCTGTGATTGGCTCACCAGACCGATAGAGTGCTGTGATTGGCTCACCAGACCGATAGAGTGCTGTGATTGGCTCACCACAACGATAGAGCGCTGTGATGACTCACCAGACCGATAGAGTGCTGTGATTGGCTCACTAGACCGATAGAGTGCTGTGATTGGATAGAGTGCTGTGATTGGCTCACCAGACCGATAGAGTGCTGTGATTGGCTCACCCCAACAATAGAGCGCTGTGATTGGCTCACCAGACCGATAGAGTGCTGTGATTGGCTCACCCCAACAATAGAGCACTGTGGTGACTCACCAGACCGATAGAGTGCGGTGATTGGCTCACCAGACCGATAGTGTGCTGTGATTGGCTCACCAGACCGATAGAGTGCTGTGATTGGCTCACCCCAACAATAGAGCGCTGTGATTGGCTCACCAGACCGATAGAGTGCTGTGATTGGCTCACCCCAACAATAGAGCACTGTGGTGACTCACCAGACCGATAGAGTGCTGTGATTGGCTCACCAGACCGATAGAGTGCTGTGATTGGCTCACCAGACCGATAGAGTGCTGTGATTGGCTCACCAGACCGATAAGAGTGCTGTGATTGGCTCGCCAGACCGATAGAGTGCTGTGATTGGCTCACCAGACCGATAGAGTGCTGTGATTGGCTCACCAGACCGATAGAGTGCTGTGATTGGCTCACCAGACCGATAGAGTGCTGTGATTGGCTCACCAGACCGATAGAGTGCTGTGATTGGCTCACCACAACGATAGAGCGCTGTGATGACTCACCAGACCGATAGAGTGCTGTGATTGGCTCACTAGACCGATAGAGTGCTGTGATTGGATAGAGTGCTGTGATTGGCTCACCAGACCGATAGAGTGCTGTGATTGGCTCACCCCAACAATAGAGCGCTGTGATTGGCTCACCAGACCGATAGAGTGCTGTGATTGGCTCACCCCAACAATAGAGCACTGTGGTGACTCACCAGACCGATAGAGTGCGGTGATTGGCTCACCAGACCGATAGAGTGCTGTGATTGGCTCACCAGACCGATAGAGTGCTGTGATTGGCTCACCAGACCGATAGAGTACTGTGATTGGCTCACCACACTGATGGAGCGCAGTGATTGGCAAGACTGTTCGGGCATGCTGAGGCTCAAATGGAGCGTACTTACACCGGCATGCAGGACAAAATCATTTTGCTTCGGTTTCTGTCCATCTAGATTTCTAGGCTACTTAAAACAAGCATTTTACATAGTTTTTGATGCATTATTTGCTGCAAGAAGCTTAAAACCTCTAAATAAGTTGCTGACTGGCTGGTGTTCACTTTTGATCATCCTCTTTGACTTCATATTTGGCTCACCTTTGCCCAACTTCACATGCAACACCAAACCCACCGTCTGTTTGCTGCTGATGCTTCTTCCCTTAACCAAACAGAAAACATCACCTTCTGATGTTTGTGCTTTGTCCTTCTGTCTGTTGCTGTTGCAGCGTGACTAACGTTTGTTACTGCATGAAGTGTGTGTGTGTGTGTGTGTGTGTGTGTGTGTGTGTGTGCGTACGTGTAAAACTGGAGTGTTGCAAACATTGTGCTTCTCTGCCTTGACCACAAGAGTCAACCACGGTGATATGATGATGCATTTAGAAACGTCTTGAGAAAAGGCTGATAAAACTGTCGTTTTAAATGTGTTGTACAAGATACGCTGTTGAATCTGTACAGCTATTCTATTTTTATATTACTGATTACATTGCAGATCATTTTAAAATGAATCCTTTATTTCAGTCGTGGGTAGAAAAAAATGTTCTTAGTTAATTGAATTTGGTAACATTTTGTATTTATGAAAATCATAAGAAAGTTTTTTTTTTTGTCAGACTTCCTAAAATCCAATTGTTATCAGCAAATGTCAGCTTTTGTTTTTCTGATGACGCATTTAAAGGGAGACATAACAAAAGGATATCTTTAAAAAGGAACGCAGATAAATCATCGTTTTATCTCAGAAATTGTGTCTATAATGATCTAAAGTTCAAATTGTAATGAAAATATAGTGTTTTAGTGATTATAAAGCTTCAATGTCATCTAATTTGGTGCCATGAGTCATTAAAAGCATTTTATATCTTACTGAAGTAAAGTTCTCTTAAATGCTGCAGCTCGATGTTTTCACGCACGTGCAGCTGTCAGCTAAGTCTGACGAGAGGAAAGAAACTAGGGCTGCACAATATATCGCAAATATACCGTTATCGCGATATCAGCACAAGCAATACGCATATCGCAAAGAACGGATAAATATCGTAATGAATGGTCAGCTCAGATGTTTGCTACACATGATACGTTCTGTCAGTCAAATGGAAGCATGATGTTTTTTAACAACTCAAATGGAGATCTTCACCCATTTGGCCAATTAGGTGGGTTCTCATAGGTTAGATGCCCGCCCCCGACACTTCATTTAGACGGTTAGCAAACACCTGAGTTAGCTTTGTTCAGCTCTTTCTGCTGATTCTGCTTTTCCCGCCTTTTCTTGTTCATTTTCTTTTTCCCTTTCCTCACATCTTTTGCTTTTCTCATTTTTATGATTTTTTTTGTCATATTTTAAGTGAAGTTTTTATTTATCGCAAGTAATATCATCATCGCAATATTAATCACTGTTATCGCTTATCGCAGGTTTTCCTAATATCGCGCAGCCCTAAAAGAAACGAATTATTCAGTGCTTTATCATTACATTCAAAAACTCATTTATTATGCAAATCATGCCACACATTAAATGGGTGGAGGTTTTTGAGTGACTTCCTGTTATAGAAGTGTTAGGAGTTCCCTCAGGTTCTCAGGAAGCCTCAAACACAAAATAATCACCTTCAGGTCACATTTGGTTTAAGATGTTCTTAAAATCTATTTTTAGGTGATTTGTTTTGTTTACTTTCTGGGCGTGTTTGAAAAATAAGGAGAGAATAAAAATCTGAAATTTGTGCTTTTTGTGGTGTCCGACCAGGAGCCCTGACGAAGGTGAAGGAGAGCCAAAAGCACGTGGAGGAAGGCAAGATGGACCGGACGCAGGCGGAAGGCATCCACGAACGCTGCAACATCATCTCCTGCGCCACGCTGGCTGAGATCCAACACTTCCACCAGATCCGCGTGCGAGACTTCAGGGCCCAGATGCAGCACTATCTCCAGCAGCAGATTGCTTTCTTCCAGAAAGTCACGGGCAAGCTAGAGGAGGCTCTGAAGAAGTACGACAACGTGTAACAGACGGCTTCGTGACGGAGCCCGTCGGTCTGATGACGAACGTCCGCGCTCTGCCCGTGATGAGCAGCCTTGGGGACTTTGGCGAGAAGCGCCTGCTGGATGCTGCTGGGCGAGAGTGAGCTCGAGTCACTGAGTAAAGTGTTTGTATTTGTTCTTTCTCACCCAGGCTGCCACTTCTGGTGACCACGCTCTGGGGTGTGCTCGTATTTAAGGGAGGATGTGTACGCATCGCTAGCTTTAACACACAGATGTGTTCAGGTATCAAAATGAGAATCAGATGAAGTGAATCAACTCTATGAACTGCAGAGAGAGAGAGAGAGAGAGAGCGAGAGCGAGAGAGAGAGAGAGAGAGAGAGAGTGAGTCTGCCAGCGTTTTTAGCCTTATGAACACTGGTCTTGAGTGATTGATGAATCGACTACTATTCTGGGAGCAGAGACGTTCTTGTGGCCAATGCAATGCCTTCAGGAGACCGAGACCCCCCCCACCACACACACACACACACACACACACACACACACACACACACCTGGAGGAATTCTCAAACAAACAGAGCATCGTGTTTACGGACTCCCCACTGAGCAGCCACTATCACCCTCATCTTTCTGTGCCTTTTTGTTACTAAATACTTAAAAAAAACTGTATTTAACTTTATTTTTAAAAGGTGTATTTGTTACAGCAAGTTTTTTGTTTGTTTGTTTGTTTGTTTACATAATCTGACTTCCTCATCCACGAGGCTCCTGGACACAGCAGCACCAGAATCAGGGAACACCCGCTTTGACGAGGAGTGAAACTCTTGCTTTACTCACCGTTGCACATCGACGCGCTTGAGCTGGTTTTAGAGGACACGTTCTACACGTTTATCTGAATTTGCTAAACAAATTTTAGGATTTGGTTCCGAGTCAGCCGAAGGGCTCTGCACCAGATTTTCCACCGGTTCCTTTGATACACAAAGTACGGACAGTTCTGATGTTTCCATGATGCATCACGAAGATTTTTATTGTAGAAGACACGCAAATTAAAGTCCTCCACTGAAAGATGTCGGCTGGTCCTGTGTTGTTGTTTTCCAGACAAATAAATTAGTTATAAAATATTATTTTTGTCATTTCTTCTCTAACTGGTTGTGAAGCAGCCGTTTGTGCAAGTGGAGCGGCAGAGTTACAGAACAAACCAGCAACATTTGTTATCTCCCACAGATAAGACTTCGGCTTCGGATATCTGATCTGCTCTGTTCTTTGTGATGACATCACTACAACACGCTGACACCATCGTCTTTTGAAGTTAGGCTCAGATAAGAAAAACGTGTCTCCAGGTCAACAATCATCGTTTTTGTCCGACGTTGGCTGACGTTTGTTCCGTCAAACATCTTATCAAGTTCTTCTAGAAGGCCACACCTGATACCAGTTACCAGTTTTACTTTCTTTCTTTTTAAATGGCGCTTTTCTTTGCCATAACAGCCTCACATAAGGATCCCCTTTTATTTTATTCTAGCACAGCGTTTAAAACATGTTATTAAACTCCAAACATAAGACTGACTATTACAAGCTCAGTATTTACTCCTTTTTTAAAAATGTAATTTGGTTTATGCCTTAAAAATTAAATCCGGATCTTAACTTTCAGGAATGGGAACAAAAGAGGAAAAGGTAAACATTCCTATCAGCCATCTTAATACGGGTTGCCTTTTGTAGAATGAAAAATTCAAACATTTACAGCTACTTTTTTCATTATCATAACTTGTGGTGATAAGCTAAAATGTAGCCACAGCTGCCCTGGGTCTTGCCCAAGGACACTGTGACTGATATGGACAGAGCCTGGGTTCAAACCGGTAACTGAATGATTACGGGACAAACTCCTAGTCCCCAAGTCACTGTGTTTATAGTCTGACACAGGACAAAGATTTAATTATTATCAGGTCATTCAGACGTTTACATGTCAGCGGTTCCAACTAAATATTCAGCTTGAGTCTAACTATTTAGTTTCAAAAATAACATTCAGATGCGTATTAAATATTTAGTTTTGAAAGAAAATATTCAGATCTTGAATATTTATTTAGCAAATAAAAATTTTTTAGCTGCAAATTAAATTTTTGATTGGAAATTAATATTTAGTTTGGAACTAAACATTCATCAGTGGGGGACGCTCCAGGAGTATGGGGTGGGTGGCCTTTTGTTATGGGCGATTCAGTCTGTTTACCAGAGGAGCGTGAGTTTGGTCCGCATAGCCGATAGTAAGTGGGACCTGTTCCCGGTGAGGGTTGGACTCCGCCAGGGCTGCCCTTTGTCACCGGTTCTGTTCATTACCTTTATGGACAGAATTTCTAGACGCAGCCGTGGTGTGGAGTGTGTCGAGTTTGGTGGCAGGAGAATCTCGTCTCTGCTTTTTGCGGATGATGTGGTCCTCCTAGCTTCATCCAGCTCTGACCTTCAGCTCTTGCTGGGTAGGTTCGCGGCCGAGTGTGAAGCAGCTGGGATGAGGATCAGCACCTCCAAATCTGAGACCATGGTTCTCGACCGGAAAAGGGTGGCTTGCCAACTCCGAGTCGGGGGAGAGGTCCTACCTCAAGTGGAGGAGTTTAAGTATCTCGGGGTCTTGTTCACGAGTGAGGGTAGGAGGGATCGTGAGATCGACAGGCGGATTGGTTCGGTGTCTGCAGTGATGCGGACACTGAGCCGATCTGTCCTGGTGAAGAGGGAGCTGAGCCAGAAAGCCAGGCTCTCGATTTACCGGTCGATCTACGTCCCAATCCTCACCTATGGTCATGAGCTTTGGGTAATGACCGAAAGAACGAGATCGCGGATACAAGCGGCCGAAATGAGTTTCCTCCGTAGGGTGGCCGGGCTCAGCCTTAGAGATAGGGTGAGGAGCTCGGACATTCGGGAGGGACTTGGAGTAGAACCGCTGCTCCTCCGGATCGAAAGGAGCCAGTTGAGGTGGTTTGGGCATCTGGTCAGGATGGCTCCTGGACGCCTCCCTGGGGAGGTGTTTCGGGCATGTCCTGCCGGCAGGAGGCCCCCGGGTCGACCCAGGACACGTTGGAGAGGTTACATCTCCAATCTGGTCCGGGAACGCCTTGGGGTCCTGCCGGAGGAGCTGGTGGAGGTGGCCAGGGAGAGGACGGTCTGGAGCTCCCTAGTTGGGATGCTGCCCCCGCGACCCGAACCCGGATAAGCGGAGGAAGACGACGACATATTCAGAGCTAAATATTTAGTTTGGGACTGAATTTTACAGATGTATGAATGACATGGTGAAAATATGAGTTGGACGAATGAATGCCCTTTTTTTTCTTGTGACAGACTAAATAACAGAAAATACTTCTGTAAGTTTTGACCGTTTAGCTTTACAAGCAGTACCCTGCTGTTTAAAACACCTACAAGATTGTGTTATGAAGCTTATAGACAACAACAGCAAACTGCTCTGCATGTTTCCTTGGCTGCGTCCCTGGAGGATTGGCATGCTGCGTCTGGGTTTCAGCCTCTGCTTTCAGATCCGCTGACAGGACAGAGGTCAGCCCGCCATCTGGGACATCTGGTCACCGTCAGAAGTGTCACCGTGGAGACACTGCAAACTGGAATAACATCTTTTTATCATCTCCAGCTCTTCTAACCATGAGGACGATGGGATTTTCTGCAGACAGAGAAAGCATCTTCTTGTTGGAGACAAATGTTCCCCGTTCAGCGTTACAATGTGAATACGTTGCGAGTCATCTTCCTTGGACAAGAATCCACTTTGATGGACGTGGCGCTGGGCTGAAGGTAAAAGCAGCAAGTTTAATCACAGCTGGTTGTGTTTACATGTTATGCTCTGTTAAACTGTAACTTTTATTTAGCTTTTTAATCATTTCCTTGACTGTTGGAGAGCTAATGCAGAGAAAATACTTTCGACAAGCTGAGCCTGAGCAAAGATGTGATAATAGTTTTTAATACTTTCTAAGGGTCTACACATATTACGGTAGTTTGTCTGCTGCATTACAGGAAGAGTACATGTTTTCCGTCTTCCTGTTATAGTTCGGAACGTTACAATTGACTTATTATTTGCTTCACACATACAATTCACTGTAATACCGAGCTGTTGGTAATTGGAGAACGTGGCTTGACATATCTTTAGAGCGGACTATTTGCTTCTAATTCACCGTTAGCATTGTTAGCTCAACGTTAGCCTCTAGCCTGCTTCACCTGATATTAGAGTTCAACAAAGGACGCGGTGGCTTCTTTGGGGTACAAGGAATATCTTCTGGGTCGCTCCTGTTTACTGGTTTTGGATCTTTAAACAACTGTGGAGCTTTTTGCCTGCTCGTGTTGAATGACAAATGCCTGGGACGCTGGGTTAGCTCGCTGCAGATCCTGCTATCTCACAAACTCAGAGTGTGAACAGTAACCACATCCCACTTTTGTTTTTTTTTCATAAGGAGAAAAACTGACAACCCCCCAGTGAGAATGATGGAGGAGGTGAAAGAGCAATATACAAGACGAGAGGATTTGGTGATAATGGGACTAGAAACCTGACACAGAAGCTACACAAAAGCAGTAGCAAATCATGACTCAGCAGAAGGTGCTTCAGATAAAGAACTTGAGACACTAGAACAGCAAGTCGTTACTTTTCTGCACAGTAAGAACATAACTATTCAAAGAGATGCTATTTCAATTTGTCATGCACTGCCTAAAAATTTTGAGAAAGCTAAATCAACTATTATTGTAAGGGTTACCAGCAGAAAACAAAGAAACAGCGTTCTGTTACAAGCAAACAAGCTAAGAGGCACCAATGTGTACATAAATGAACATTTAACCAAAAAAGAAAAAGGGACAATAGCTAGAGAGGCACGGATGCTAAAGAAGCAGAAAAAAAATTGTAGCTACATAGACAAGGAACGGGAGTGTATGGATCAGAGAACAAGAAGGGTCACAGGCTAGGATAATAAAGGAGCTGGGAGAACTGGAAAAATTTAATAAACAGTGAAAGTTGGAAGAGGGATGTAGAATCAAGTAAAATCTCATATAACATCCCATAAATGAAATACAAGTAAACCGCAACTCAAGCATATGGACATAACAACAAATACTTATGAGGAACTAGAATACTAGATATATGACCCTGGAAAGGAACTAGAACATAATTTGTACATACATATGAATAATAAATGTGAATATTTTAGTGAACAAGAACTACGTGATTCAGTTTTGACAGAAGGTACACTCTCGATCATTCACTTCAATAGTAGAAGTTTGTATTGCAATTACTCTAAAATATTGGATTATTTAACACAAAATAAAAAGCCCTTTCAAATCATTGCTATAACAGAAACATGGTTAAAAGAAGGAGATGAGGAGGAGGTACAAATAGATGGGTATGAAATGTACTTTATGAATCGGAATAATAAAAGAGGAGGTGGTGTTGCACTGTATGTATGTCACAATTTAAAAAGTAAAGTCATTCATAACGTGTCAACAGCCATCCAAGATGTCATGGAAATGATCACTATTGAAATAATCAATGAAAAGACAAAAACATAATAATAAGTTGTATCTATAGAGCT